TGGGAGGATTGGGGGGTCTCGGGGGTGTCTTGGGGGCCTGAACAGTCGGGGGACAGAGGGGAGGGGGAGGGGGAGTCCCGAGAGACTCGGGGGGGTCTGGGGGTGGTGGGAAGATGTGGGGGGGCTTTGGGGGTCTTGTCACCCCCTCCGGATGACCCCAAGAGATGGAGATGGGGACATGGGGGGTGACACCGGGTGTGTGACACTGCGGGGGTGACACAGCGGGGCTGTGGGTGACATCGTCTGAGTGACACCGTGAGTGACACCTGATGCTGTAACCGGGTGTGACACCGTGTGACACTGTGACTGAGTGTGACACTGTGATTGTGACGCCGTGGCACCGTGGCTGTCACCCTGAACGCGTCTGTGTGACACGGACACCGTGACGAGGACGATGTGTGTCACCGCGCCCGTCACACCCCACGCGGCTGTGACGCTGTCCCGGGGCGGTGACACCGGGTGACACCGTCCGTGTGACACGGTGACAGCCGCGCGGGGACAGCCCTGCCCCGCTGTCACCCCCTCGGGTGCCCCCGGCCCCGGGTCCCCCCTGCTGTGTCCCCTCCCCCCCCCGGCCCCCCACGGAGCGGGTGGGGGAGGGGCAGCGGCGCCGTTGCCACGGTGACAACAATGGCTGCCCAACCCCCCGGTCCTGCGGGGCGCCTGACGGGGCTGTCACCGTGTCCACACGGCCGGCGGTGTCATCCCCACGGTGTCACCGTCACTGTGGCAGTGTCACACCTGTCATGGTGTCACCCCCACGGTGTCACTGTCACAATGGCAATGTCACAGCTGTCACAGTGTCACCCCCATGGTGTCACCATCACTGTGGCAGTGTCACAGCTGTCAGTGTGTCACCCCCATGGTGGCAGTGTCACTGTGATAATGCCACACCTGTCACCAACCCTGTGTCACCCCCATGGTGTCACCCCCACAGTGTCACTCCCATGATGGCACCGTCACAGTGGCAGTGTCACAGCTGTCACAGTGTCACCCCCACAGTGTCACTGTCACGGTGTCACCATCACTGTGGCAAGTGTCAGAGCTGTCATGGTGTCACTGTCACGGTGGCAGTGTCACATCTGTCATGGTGTCACCCCCACGGTGTCACTGTCACAATGGCAATGTCACAGCTGTCACGGTGTCACCCCCACGGTGTCACTGTCACTGTGGCAGTGTCACACCTGTCATGGTGTCACCCCCATGGTGTCACTGTCACAATGGCAATGTCACAGCTGTCACAGTGTCACCCCCATGGTGTCACCGTCACAGTGGCAGTGTCAGAGCTGTCGTGGTGTCACTGTCATGGTGGCAGTGTCACATCTGTCACAGTGTCACACGTACACTGTGTCACCTCCATTGTGTCACCCTGACCATGATGGTGTCACACACACAATGTCACACACAGTGTCACAGAATAATGTCACACAGTGTCACACACAGTGTCAGTGTCACACACAATGTTAATGTTGCAGTGTTACAGTGTCACACACAGTGTCAGAGAAAAATGTCACACACGATGTCACAGTGTCACACACAGTGTCAGTGTCGTAGTGTCACAGTGTCACACACACAGTGTCACACACACAATGTCACTGTCACACACACAGTGTCACACACACACACAGTGTCACACACACACAGTGTCACACACAATGTCACACACACACTGTAACAATGTCACGGTGTCACACACTGGTACGCTGTCCCCACAGGTTCTTGGAGGCGGGCGGCTACGCACTGTACCCGCAGTGTCACACACACACAGTGTCATACACATAGTGTCACAGTGTCACACAATGTCACAATGTCACAGTGCAACACACACTATGTCACACACACAATGTCACAGTGTCACACACCGTCCCACAGGTTCCTGGAGGAGGGCGGCTACGTGCTGTACCCTCAGTGTCACACACACAATGTCACACTGTCACACACAGTCACACAGTGTCACACACACTGTCACACCGTCCCACAGGTTCCTGGAGGCGGGTGGCTACGTGCTGTACCCGCAGTGTCACACACACACAGTGTCTCACACACACAGTGTCACACACACACAGTGTCACACACAAAGTGTCACACACACAGTGTCACACACACACAGTGTCACACACACCGTCACACTGTCCCACAGGTTCCTGGAGGCGGGCGGCTACGTGCTGTACCCTCAGATCGGCGACCGCCTGGACCTGGTGTGTCCGGGCGGCGCGGGGTACGAGTACTACAAGCTGTACCTGGTGGGGGGGGCGCAGGCGCGGCGCTGCCAGGTGCCCCCCGCGCCCACCCTGCTGCTGACCTGCGACCGCCCCCAGCGCGACGTGCGCTTCACCATCAAGTTCCAGGAGTTCAGCCCCAACCTCTGGGGCCACGAGTTCCGCCGCCAGCACGACTATTACATCATCAGTGAGCCGGGACGCCATGGCGGGGCGGCCGTGACGTCATCAGGGGGTGGTGATGTCATTGGGGGTGGTGATGTCATTGGGAGATGGGGATGTCATCGGAGGGGGTGGTGATGTCATTGGGGTGGTGACATCATGGGTGTGATGATGTCATTGGAGGGGTGGTGATGTCATCGGAGGGGTGGTGATGTCATTGGGGTGGTGACATCATGGGCGTGATGATGTCATTGGAGGGGTGGTGATGTCATCGGAGGGGTGGTGATGTCATTGGGGTGGTGATGTCATTGGGAGATGGGGATGTCATTGATGGGGCGGTGATGTCATTGGGGCAGCGATGTCATTGGGGTGGTGACATCATGGGAGTGATGATGTCATTGGAGGGGTGGTGATGTCATCGGAGGGGTGGTGATGTCATTGGGAGATGGGGATGTCATTGATGGGGCGGTGATGTCATTGGGGCAGTGATGTCATTGGGGTGGTGATGTCATTGGAGGGGTGGTGATGTCATCGAAGGGGCAGTGATGTCATTGGGGTGGTGACATCATGGGTGTGATGATGTCATTGGAGGGGTACTGATGTCATTGGGGCAGTGATGCCATTGGGAGATGGTGATGTCATCAGGGGGGGTGATGTCATTGGAGGGGTGGTGATGTCATCAGAGGAGGTGGTGATGTCATTATTGCACGATGCTGTGATGTCACTGGGGTTGCCGATGACCTCACAGCGCGTGACAGCGAATCCAAGGGAAGGGGGGGGTGTGACCAGTCTGTGACGTCACGGAGGTGCTGTGATGCCTGATATGACGTCACCAATGACGTCACGATGTCCCCTCCCCCCACAGCCACCTCGGACGGGACCCCCGAGGGGCTGGAGAACCGGCAGGGCGGGGCCTGCCTGACCCGGGCCATGCGGGTCACCCTGCGCGTGGGGCAGC